ATGATAAAGGGAAATAACTTAAATACACAGAAACAAGATTTCAGGGGAAATGGTTACTACTACATTTACTGGTAGAAAATTCCTAATCTACGTGCAGTTGTGATTTGTGTCTATCCTTGTAATAAGTAAAATGAGGTTTATGGTGAAAATGTGCTGTTAACATCTGCAGCCACGCTTAAGGCTTTTGAAGGCATAGCCTAGGCATTGCATCCCCGACTAAAAGGCTACCAGAAAAAAAAAAATCAGTCTGTCTTGAAGCTGTGATATATGTTCCTTGCTCCAGTGTAAAAGCTTTGTAAACACAGTAGGGATTAAGCATTTTAAAATGGGAGAATAACAAAATTTTCAGATAGAGTTACATCACAGTACTTGTGGATGATTATTACAGCTTTTTATAACTTTTTCCATGTGAAACATAGAAATACTGGTTCTAAGCAGAGACTGAATACTAGTTATGATAGATTATGTTAGAGCAGCACTGGGGGGATTGGGATGCTGAAGCACGTGTGTTTCTTGGGTCCTGAAATACCTGTGCTGGGCAGTGGCCGTAGCTGTTGAGGCGTGATCAGCCACGGGGAGTGTTAGGGCGGAGAAGGGTATCGGTGAGAGCTGGCCGTGCCAACGGAGCCAGCCAGAGCATGGGGAAACACTGGTTTGTAGTATTTGTTCCATTCACGCTACTTTGAGGGAAAAGGAGGCATGGCTATGGAGAAATGGAGTGAGTGTCTGTCCTCAGAGGGGCTCGGGGCCCGTCTCTTGCTGCCGGGCGGGGATGGGGACCTGCACGGTCTCTGCCTCTGTCCCACCTGGTCAGACCAGAGGTGAGGGGTCTAATTTTGCTGTTGCCTCTCTTCCCTCCTGGTGATAGAGCTGCATCGCAGAGTCACATATACCTTTCCCACCATCGCACTCCCAAATTCACATTTCCTATGTATCTTTTGTCCTTACCCCCTGTTTCTTTCCGCCATGTCCATAAAGCAGAGGGTGCTCCTCTTGCCCCTGGCTTTGCTTTTCACACAAATTATTCTTTTTAGTCCGGTTTCATTCACAGAAGCAGAGCAGGGCAGGAGTGAGCAGCCTTGGCACCGTGGGGTTCTCTCTGCCTATATAGTCTTGTTTTCTTCCACCTTTTGGATGGTGGAACAGAGACTTCATAAGTATTCAAGAAAGCCTAATTTCTTTCTAGAATAATTTTCCCAAGTGAGTAGTTTTTGGAGAGCCCATGGGACTCAACTTTGAGAGATGCCAGCCGGCCGCTCGCAGGGCTCAGGCGGCAGAAGGGCTGGTTTGAAGCTTCTGTTATCAAAAGGCAAGAGGGACTTCGGTGTGCTAAGCCGGGCAGTTGTCAGAGTGGTGCAGACCTGCTGGCTAGGTGATTATCAAGGAATGCCTCTTG